GCTTGAAATTTCAGTAGAACTGTAATGTGATAAAAATTTCCAAAATTACCTCGGAAATTTCAGTAAAAAATTTCACCCAGTGTACGATATCATGGATATTTCGGTGTTGATATTCTAATTGAAATGAATTGAAGTCAATGACTATTATGGATATTATTTCCCCTCGTGTCGCTTGTATTAAAATGTCCTGCAATAATTTGATATGCAGAGACTCTTTCATAATATGACATTGCGGTTTTATTAATTCCGAATCAGTCGCTTCAGACGGAATGAATGATGTGGAGCGAGATGATTGACGATGGAGTGGCTCGAAGCTTTGTACGAGTGCAGTTATTAGGGATAAACGGCCAATAAGTGCTCTCGATGCTCCTTTTTTTTCGTTTTACAATGTATATCGATAAGTCATTGCATCCGGTGAAAGTGACGGTAATGAATATACGGACGAGTGCAGAATGATTATCTCGAAAAGTGGTGCAGATTTTTATGTTATTTTTCCCGCACTCTTCACACCATTTTTGATTATGTTACACTGCAGACATTTTGTTATTGAAGTTCTTCGATATTTTAATTTGATTTTCGATTCTCAATTCTTAAAAATCTTTTTAAGAACGCAAAAAAGATTAAGCAGTCGCTATCATCGAGATCTGCTTTGAATGAAGTCAAATGTAAATATTTTAGTTGTGTTTTCTCCGAAAAATCCGAAAGTTGAACCTCGAGATTTATCGCCCAGTGTCATATCAGCCCCGAGAATTTTGCCACGGCTACCGGTGAGCATATGGCGAGTATTAAAACCTCACGTTTTCACGCGCACGGTGCACCCACCAGAAGGAATTTAATTAAGAACTCGTCTGTGTGATTCGTTAATTCGCTTACGCCTTATAAAATCCGGTTCGAACCTTGTTTTCGCGTGTCCTCCGGTAGTTTATAACGAGACAAAATCTTGGTGGACACCGTTTCTGAAGGATTCCGAGACTTTCCAACCATTTCGTCATACCGTGAAAATCATAACAATTATTCATGATTAAAATTCTTCGATTGTTTTTAATGTCTGATATTGCACAAGACGGTTTATCCAAATGGGTCAACATCCACGTGATTTTTTTTTCAGAATTATCGAAAATTTACGGTCTTTGTTATGAAATCTTCATCAAAAATGGAGAATTTTCCCAAGTTTTTTTTAGAATAACTGAGATTCTACAATTAAAAAATAAAAAACGAGAATGTAATTAATAAACAATTATTAATTACATTCTCAAAAAAAAATATTGTAAAGAATTAATCCGTGTCTCTTGATTCATTCATTAGAATGTTATGTTATAACAATTATTCGTAATTAAAATTCTTCGATTGTTTTTAATGAGTTATAAAAAATTTATGGTCTTGTTCATGAAATCTTCTTCAAAAATGGAGAATTTTTCCTTTTTTTAGAATGGATGAGATTCTTCAAATAAAAAATAAGAAACAAGAATGTAACTAATAAACAATTATTATTTCATTAACCAATAAACAATTTAACGCATGATTTAATGAATCTCCATAAAAACAAATCGTGTAAAGAATGAATCCGCGCCTCTTGATTTATTCACCAGAACGTTATTTCATCCACAAAACAATATTTCCAATGAACGCCATAAATCACAAGAGAGTTAAAATTTTCACGCTCCACGTGCGAGATTTCAGTGTGATCGAATTACGATTATGTGATTGGCACACACCAGCAGAGGATCGGAGTAAATCCCGGGGACATTGATTCACGGATCACGTATGGAGCTCAATTGGTTCGCGACTTGGGCTAATGACGAGAACCGTCGCTGCACACACGCAACACAAATGCACTCCACCTATCCCCCAACACACCCTCGGAAATTTCAATTCGCGGTGGCAAATCCAGGTGAGAGGAGGCAGCATGCACGTACGGGAAAAGGGAGCCGTCATAGTGACTGTGCGGGGGACAAGGGAAATATATATGTACAGAGGGGGTCGTGGCAATCGTGCTAATTGCCACTGAAACTCGGGGGAAATCGAGATTTCCGTAGGTGCTCACTGCCACATTCCCCCAAACTGTTTGCAACGGGACGACACACGCCTGGGGAGATTAAGGCCCGGAACGCTAATGTCCTTGTGGATCAGTGATTTTTAACAATTCAGGGATTGTATAAATACCGAATGGCGCTCTGGTCTATTTGTAATCGCTCTTCACTCACAATAATGCACTAATTGGGGAAATAACCGGGGATACAAGTTCCGGAAATTTTTATCGTGTGCAAGTTCCACTGACATTTCCGGAAATCTTGTCACTGAAAAATCAAATATTTCGTTGATTTTCTGTTCAAATGTAATACCCAATTTTTCAGTTTTTATTATTCTGTAAAAATTCCGAAAAACCCATAATATTCAGGAAAAATTGAAAATTCCTCTCATTTTGTTTCTGAATATTCACGTTCCACGGAAAATTCAATCAAGTTGTCAAACGTAGTTGTGAAATTGTGGCAGTTTCACTGGAATTTCAATAAATTTCATAAGGGGATACAAGTTCCGGAAATTTTTATCGTGTGCAAGTTCCACTGACATTTCCGGAAATCTTGTCACTGAAAAATCAAATATTTCGTTGATTTTCTGTTCAAATGTAATACCCAATTTTTCAGTTTTTATTATTCTGTAAAAATTCCGAAAAATCCATAATATTCAGGAAAAATTGAAAATTCCTCTCATTTTGTTTCTGAATATTCACGTTCCACGGAAAATTCAATCAAGTTGTGAAACGTAGTTGTGAAATTGTGGCAGTTTCACTCGAATTTCAACAAATTTCATAACTAAAATTCACAATTCAATGCACGGAGAGAAATACTCACTAAAAATGACGTATCTTTCCGTAATTCCGGAGCGAAATGTGGTTGTAGGAAATTTTACGGAACTGTCACGGAATTTATCCAGAGCGTTCCGTAATTTTTATCTGAATCTCCTGTGAAAAATTACGATATCGTCACTTAAACTTTCCGAGTCGATTCCGTAATCGGCGATCATGCATAACATTTCTCTCCGTGTGAAAAAATCAATCAGATACTGATTTTAGAAATTGAAAAAAGCCTATCACGCCGCAATGCTCACCTGGCTGCATCCTCTCCCCCCTCTTTCCTCACAGCTCTAATCGCCCTCAACCCTTAACAATACATTCCCCCTTTTATCATCCCCGTAGAATGAACATACCCGAAGCCATGAAACCAAGTGACGTCGTACAATTCCGAGTTCCACGCCATTTCCACTCCCGCACGCGTACAATGTAGTTTATGCGCGCCGAAGAAAATACCAAGGTACCTGTCTCAGGGTTTACTACAACTAGACAACTACCACTGCCACCCCCCCCCTCCCAACCCCTCCCTCCCCCCGTCCTCAATCCCTGTCAAATGCACATACACCAATGACGAACCAGCAGAGCCATCATGAACGTAAAAGCCCACGCTGGTCTCCTTTCATCGCAAGCTACCTTGCAGAAATTACCGTTCCACAATATTCCCCCACCCCCCTTGGTCCCAGGATTTTTTTTACGTCTCCCCTCTGCCTTTTATTTTTTTTTTCTCACTTCTTCCTTCTTCATCCTGCGCCGTAAAACACCTTTACGATCCTCTCCCTGGGATTATGCAGAGAGCGTTGGCCAACGTAGGCATAGTCCACCAAAGGACGACATACTTGGGAAGGGGGCGGGGGCGGGGGGCACTTATTGCATTGGCCGTAAGCCATGCAGTCCCTCCTGAGTTTGGTTACACGTCTCCAACGAAACTTTTAGCCTTTCAACGCTCATCTCTCTTTACTTACACCCCTGGGCCGGTTTTTACCCCCTTAAAACCGTCGTTTAGAAAGAGGTAGCGCAAATTTTAGTAAACAAACCCTAATTGGTTAGCGATTAAAGTTTAATTTGAAAAAGGCTCTCGGAAAGTTTCACAATTTTCTGGAGTTAATGGAAGATATCTTCTATTTAGGTTTTTTTATCTTCATCGGGACAGCCTCGAGATGGGGAATTGGAAGCGGCATTTTGTGATGAAAAAAGAAGGGACTGTCTCTCGTTCACGATTCATTTCTGAGTAACATGTGCCACGAATGACTCTATCCGAGCGAGTAATCTCTCGAACGCATGCTGAAAGTCTAAAGACGGTGGGGCTGTGTGTGTGCAGACATTTTCTTCTGTACATCGATCTCGCTGGTGACGACGGTGGTTAAATCGAAATGATCACACACGTGACACGTACAGGATGTATATTATCTTGGTTTATTATTGCGGTTTTTTGTTCTGTCGATAGGAGAGGTGGAGGGGAATACACTCTCGCACTGAGAATTTTTTCTGTTGAGGGTACATGGGGAGAAATATTCAGGAAAAATTACGGAACAATTCACGTAATGCGCAATGGGGAATCGTTTTCCGGCAATTTTTGTAGGAATGGGAGAGAAGAAATCTGAAACGCTCAATGAATTCTCAGGTTCGCCACCCAACAAAGTACGAAATTGTCACGTAATTTTTCCCGAAGGAGTAAAATCTTACAGAAAATTGCCGACTTATTGTGCCTCAAAAATCAAAAATTCTTGAACGTTCAACAATTTTTATGAAGCTGGTGAGTTATTTCTACGTTCCGTTCCGTAAAATTTCTCAATCGTTGGGGAAAAATTACGGAACGACTTGTTGTCCCCACAGCGGTGAGTCATCAGACGGGTGGTCAATTTTTACGGAACAAATCGTAGAATTTACGTGGCAATTCGTACAATTTCAGCTCCGACTCACACTTTTATTGAATTTTACTTCGTTCGTGGATTACGTTTCCAAACGTAATTTTTACTTTTTTTTTCTGGTAATTTTTATTGAATTTTTCTCTCCTTGTATCCAAGAATTTTCAGTATTATTTATTATTTCAATACTTTTTATTATTTTTGTATATTTCGATTTCATTTTTGTGACACGAAGGAATATGTATTTTTAATATGTATCATTAATCTATTAATCTCAGCACGAATTCATTTTTAAAGATATTTTTTTTCTAAATTCGTTATTATTTGTGTTTATCGTACAGATTATTTGAAAATTGTGGTTGGATAAAGTCACTTTTCAATGGGTTTTCAATTGTAGCACCCATGCCGGAGTAATTTGTGTATTTCACCCTTCAATAGAGTGGGAGCAAACAACTTGTCCAACAAATCTTTGCAATACGGTATTAATAATTTTCTGGGTCGACAATTTCGCTCGCACTCTGCTTTGGTTTCGAAGTTATCTTCATCAGGTATTATACACCCTTGATCTTCGACACATTCTCCGTTGACGGAGTCGAAATACCAGAAAGTTTTCGAGTTGTGTTGTTTATTGCAGAGAAGGCTCGGTGGACGTCCGCAGATTGGGCCTGCGGGACAAAATGAAGACTAATTATTGCATCGCCTTAAAAAATACTCCTCAGTTTCAAATAATTTCCCTCAGGTTACTCTAAAATTTGGTGTATTGTTCCTGTGAAATCGAAAATACGATATTTAATGGATTTAATTCACGTGGATGTTTAATACGAGTTTCAAAGAAATTTACTACACGGAGACGAATTTTCTAGAAAAATTCTAGTACGAGTACTGGAAAAAATCACAATCCACCGGCTGTGAAAAATTCTAGTGCTGTTAGAATTAAATTTCTTGGTATTTCTGATAAAATTTCTGGAGATTTCTATGAAATTTTCACAGAAATACGGGAAAAAATTCGCGTTTTCCCCAATAAAATTTCTAGTGCCGGCACTGGAATTTTTTCCTGGCCGTCACTTTGCGCCTCTTTTCCCGTGCTAGCACTAGAATTTTTCAAAAAAATTTCTCTCCGTGTATTGACAGATCTTTCCATTTCTTATCAAATTATTTCCTTTTCCCTGTTATTAATCAACTCATTGGATTAAATATTCTTAAACATCTATGAATTCCCAAATTTTCATTCAATACTTACGCTAAACTGTTGGATATCATAGTGAATTTTGATTAATTCATCTGCAAAAATATGAATTATTAAGTCTAAATATTCCAACAGGGATATTTAGAGCTGATTAATAAAACCTTGAGGAATCCACCAATTGACTCCGCGCTCTCGATCATTCCCACTTGAAAACCGAAGTTTGAGATTAAAATCACGGAAAAATCCGACATATCGTATTTTCAATTGATCACAAATTTAACGTAAAAGTTAAAAATTCTCACCCTGGGCTGGCACTGCCGATATTGGTTGACAGGCAGCAAGTACAAGTACAATTATAGCAGCTTTCATGATGTAGGTCTTTATGACACAGGGACTTTTTTTACAACAAGTTCCAATGGCTTGTGGATGTTACTCTGCTGTCTAAGTACTCCAGCCCCATTTTATATGCCGAAATCCTAGACTTTTTTTTCGTGTTTTCAGAGTGCCATTTGTGTAAAGACACGTGGTATCACTTAGCATGACAATTGACTATCAATGTAAATATCGATAATGAAATACGGTGAAACTTCTTCCATTAGAATAATTCAGAATTCAATTCATTAATGAAGTAGTAAACCGGTATAAGTCGATTTTGACTATTGCCCAGTTTCCAATGAATATCTCAAAATCTAAGGGACATAGCGAAATTTTCATCATAACCTTTTTTGTAGAGCAAGTTGAGAGCTACAAAAAAGGAAATCACAACAATTCCGCTATTTCCCTTAGATTCCGAGATATTTGTTGAAAAATGGCCAATAGTCAAAATGCACTTACACCGGTTTACAACTTCGCTACTGAATTCATAATTCAGTAAATTCTCGGTATTATTTCCTCGTCGTGTAGCCAAGGGTGTAAGTAGTGTGCAGAAGCATAGCTCTTACGCCCCCTTGGCTCTACAACGACGATTTGCTAATTTTGTAACATTGTGAATACCAGGAAGAATGATGATGACGATTGATTGCTGATGAGCAGCTGTTTCAATCATTTGACATACTCGTGGATGAAATCGTTTCATAGACAAGAACTACTAGAGACGAGGTCTTATTAACTCACGTGCAAATCCAAAACATTTGTTTCGTCACAAGGTCGAAATATACTGTAATTCTATTTTTAAGTTTCTATTCCGCAAATATTTACGTTTTTCTTTGACAACTTCAGTCTAATACGCAAGAAATATTTGTATACATTCAAAAAAATATTCCATAATTCAGCTTTACGGTCGACTATCAGTGCAAATATCGATAGTGGAATACAATAGAAAGTTTTCCACTAGAATAATTCTGAAATTGATTCACAATTGAGTACATTGTCGGTATTCTTTGTTAATTTTGAAACATTGTGGATACGAGGAAGAGTGAGGACGAAGCCTGATTGGTGATGAACAGTTGTATTAATCATTTGATATACGAATGTGTAAAATGAAGGGCTCTTAACTCATGTTCAAAGACAAAACACTGTTAATTCAATTTTATTGTGTTCGTTTGTAGATATATTATAAAAATCCAAATCAATTTCTGGTGACTGAAAATTGGTACTCGAAATTAAGACTCCAGAATGAAGGGTCACAAGGGTCGAAATAAGGGTCATGAGGGTCTGAATAGGGATCATGAGGGTCAGAATAGGTGTTACGACGGTCAAAATAAGGGTCATGAGAGTCAGAATAAGGGTCACGAGGGTTAAGGGTAATTAAGGGTAATAAAAATAACAATAAGGGTCATATGGGTCAGACTAAGGGTTAACATAAGGGTAACAAGGGTCAGATTAAGGGTTTAAATAAGGGTCACAAGGATCAGGTTAAGGATCAGAAAGGTCAGTTTGAGGGTAATAAAAGTAAGAATAAGGGTCATATGGGTCAGACTCAGGGTAACAAGGGTCAGATTAAGGGTTTAAATGAGGGTCACAAGGATCAGGTTAAGGATCAGAAAGGTCAGTTTGAGGGTAATAAAAGTCAGAATAAGGGTCGTATGGGTCAGATTAAGGGTTAACACAAGGATAACAAGGGTCAGATTAAGGGTATAAATAAGGGTCACAAAGATCAGATTGAGGATCACAAAGGTCAGAAACTACGGGTCACAAGGGTCTCTATTTCTCTATATTTTAAAAATCCAAATGAATTTATGGTGATGAAAATTTGGTACTCGAAAATAAGACTTCAAAATTAAGAGTCATAAATGAAGGATCGAAATATGGGTCACAACAGTCAGAATAAGGATCATGAGGGTCATGGAAGTAGTCCCCTACTTCCGAAATATTCACGTGTGTCGTTGACAAATTTAGTCTAACGCACGAGATTCGTTTTTATATATTGAATTCCATAAATAAATAAATGATCACTGTTCGGTAACAATTCAGGACCCAAATTATTTCCTCACAAATAAGAGAAAAATGTGGAGAAAATGAAAAGAAACGCGAGTGAAAAAAGAGAAATGCAAATGTGAAGGTAAAATGCAACCGATAACGGGGCATTCCGAAAGGCGGATAATATTGGCAATAATGCCGTGACTTGAACGACGTCAACATTGGATACAAGCTAAATGAGATTCGCCAATCTCGACCGGTGTATCGCTGAAGCTGGATTACATCTGGGAATAAATATTTCATAAGTTTCATAAGCTACGGATATGATATTGGCATAGTTGAATAATTCCTCCGTTCAATTCCTTTCTCATTGGCATGACGATTATTTCCGGAAAGTGTCCTGATGACAAAATGAATTGATGAACCGCATCGTGAATATTACACAGAGAACAAAATAGATGAAAAATCATTTTAAAAAACGAAAACAGTTAAATATAAAAGAATTAAGAATAAAAATTCAATTAGCACACATTTTAGTTTCATTGAAATTTCAAAATATCTCGTAACTGACATCTGCATTAATCATAAATTTCGAATAAAAATAAATTTTGAATCAGTCAATTGGTTAATGTTACTCAACAATTTTTAAATCATTGAATTCCGAATTATTTTATCAATCAATAATTGAGTTTGGAAGATTGGCAATTATGAAAGAATGAAATTTAGGATTATTTAGTCAATAGTCAATTGACAATTCCATACTAGTAATTCATTAATTCGTAGTCAATTGAAAATTTAGATTATCAATTATTTTGTTGTTTTAAAAAATTCAATGAAGAGGAGTAAACCTTAATTATTTTAAGGTGCAACATCTCTTAATATTAATAATCCAATGATTGATACCGGACACTGTCTCGTAATGAAAGATTCAACATACGGATAAATCAACGGGAACTGATGAATTTTTACTTGACAAAACGTCAAATCAGCTTTTGCAAATTAGTATTTTCAATAATTCGGGGTAGAAGACGAGAGTTTACATGCGTCCGGTGGGTTATGACCGTTATGACCCCAGCCGGAAAACCGGTTGAGGGTTAACGACATGAGTGTCGCTGCGCGAGAGAAGGGCTCGGGCGCAAAGTAGCCGCCCCCGGTGATTTAAAGCTCCTGCAAAGTAGGCAAAGTCCATTCACCGCATCCAAATATCTCGTAAATCAACGGCTTGGATATACCTTGCTTACATGCATAATATCTCCCCCTCCTCGACATAATTACCACCCAACCTTTTCTCCTCACTCATTGCCCGGTGCTTTCTATTTACGGGGGATTATGGGACAAGTTGTTGTACCAATATATTCACACCATCTGCCTTCGACAATCATCGAGTGTCTTGTTTACGATAGCCATCATTTGTTTCATTGCTAATCTCACGGCGTCCGACAGAGGGACGATTAACCTTTCAGGATGGAGAGGGGCTTGTCATTTCGTGATTTATTCTGGCGCTTGAATTATGAAGATTTTGAGGATGATTGAGGAGGATTTACCGTTGGGTGGGATTATAAAGGCGTTATTCAGGGGTGGGGTGGGTATTTGAGAGAGTGCGGGACTATTTTCAGTTTAATATTGGATTTTGTAGCGACATGCATGAATATTTTAAGGCTTTGCTGCAGATTAATTCAGTACACGGAGAGAATATTCAGTAAAAATTACGGAACAATTTCCGTAATCTGCAATGGAGAATCGGTTTCCGGCAATTTTTGTAGGAATGGAAGAGAAGAAATCTGAAACGCTCAGTGAATTCTCAGGTTCATCACCGAACACAGTACGAAATTGTCACGTAATTTTTCCCGAAGAAGTAAAGGCTTACAGAAATTTGCCGACTCATTGTGCCTCCAAAATCAAAAATTATTGAACGCTCAACAATTTTTATGAAGCTGGTGAGTTATTTCTACGTTCCGTTCCGTAAAATTTCTCAATCGTTGGGGAAAAATTACGGAACGACTTGTTGTTCCCACAGGGGTGAGTCATCAGGCGGGTGGTTAATTTTTACGGAAGAAATCGGAGAATTTACGTGGCGATTCGTACAACTTCAGTCCCGACTCACACTTTATTTAATTTTATATCGCTTGCGGATTACGTTTCGAAACGTAATTTTTGCATTTTTTTTTCCGGTAATTTTTATTGAATTTTTCTCTCCGTGTAAAATGAAAACTTTTCGATCCTACTCATTTTTATTCTGCACAGTTAAAGCGTCCACGAGCTTCAATCCCACCATCATGTCAAGAAATCAAAATCGTAAAGGGAGAAAAAAAATTTAATATAATTTGAGGATATCCAAGTGCTTTTATTTTTTTTAATATCAGAACATTCATTTGAGTCCCATTTGATTTTACTATTTAAACTGTCTGAATTTGAATCTCGATATTAAACCGATAGAAAACATTTTAAAAACCTGAAAAAAATTGGAAAGTTTCCTTCGGAGGATTGATGAAATAATTTGACAAGTGAAATTTTTGTCAATCATGAGCATTTAAAAAAAATATTTATAAACAACGAATGTTTAAAATTAACGATTCTATTCATGATTTTCATCATGTCTTTTTTCAAATTTATCACACACAATTTACTTGACTAATTTGACGATTGACAATGTAGAAGATACTTGGAAATCTTTAATATTTCCATTAAATTTACATCTTTCAATCACGCAACATTCAGCTTTTCTTTCAACGTCAGAACCATTGCACTCTACATAATTTTCAATTTTCACAATTGTGAAATGTGATGTACGTCACGAAGAATTTCACTTTAAAAATTCATCAAAAATGAGTGAAAATTAATTAATTAATTTTTACGTCTAAACCTTCTGTTCTCGACACGATCACTTCCAGGTGCTCCCCGACGTTCAACTTTATGTTATTCAGAGAGTCCGAGGCACAATCCTCACGAACAGAAGAATTTTTTCCCCGTTTACAGCAAAAACTGTTCAGAATCGATCAGGCGACACTTCCATTGGTAGAAATCCGATAAAATTGCTCTTACCGTCTTCATCTGTTTATGGG